CCAAAATGAATAAAACACTTAGAAATAATCTTAACTAAGGAGGTTAAAAACTTGTATAGTGAAAATCACAAAACATTACTGAAAGAAATTAAAGAAGACACAAATGGAAAGACAATCCATGCTCATGGATTTGAGTGCTTAATATTGTTAAGATGTCCATACAAAGCAGTCTCCAGATTTAATGCAATCCCTATCAGAACTCCAAAGGTACTTTTTGCAGAAATAGAAAAGTCCATCTTAAATTTCACATGGAATCTCAAGGGACACCAAGTAGCCAAAACAACCCTGAAATAGAACAAAGTTGGAGATCTCACACTTCCTAGTTTCAAAACTTATTACAAAACTCCAGTAATCAAAATGGTGTAGTACTGGCATGAACAAACACACAGACCAATGGAATATGATAGAAAGCCCAGAAATAAACTCTAGCATGAATGGTCAAATGATTTTCAACAAGGGCTCCATAACCATTCAGTGGGTGATGATAATGGACTTGGTGATGATTTCTTGATATGACACTAAAAGCAGAGACAACAAAAGTACAAATACATCAAAATTAAAAACTTTTGTGCACAAAGGAACACAACTGATAGAATAAAAAGACAACCTATAGAATGGGAAAAAAATCTGCAAATCATATACCTGATAAAGGGCTAATATCCTTATGTAGAATAGAAAGAACATAAAATATATAAATAACTCCTATAACTCAACAACAACAAAAAAGAAAGAACCAAAAAAAAAAAATGGGCAAAAGATTGAATAGACATTTTTTCCAGAGAAGATACACAAATAGGCAATGAGCTTATGAAAAGATTCTCAAGGTTAGTAACCATTAGGGAAAGGCAACTCAAAACCACAGTGAAGAGGGAGGGTATAGCTCAGTGGCAGAGTGCATGCTTAGCATGCACAAGGTCCTGGGTTCAATTCCTAGTACCTCCATTAAAATAAGTAAATAAATAAAGCTAATTATCTCCTAACTGCACCCCTCAAAAAAAAAAAAAGATACTACCATCTCACACCCATTAGGGTGGCTACTATAAAAACAAACAAACAGAAAATAACAAAGTGTTGGCAAGATTATAAAAAAGATTAGAACCCTCATGCACTGTTGGTGGGAATGTAAAATGGTGCCACTGTTATGGAAAACTCTATGGTGTTTCTTCATATGATCGCCATATGATCCAACAGTCCTATTTATGGGATATAGCCAAAATAATTAAGAGCAGGGTCTGGAAGAGATCTTTGAGCACCTATGTTCATAGCAGGATTTTTCACAACAATCAAAATGTGAAAACAGCCCATCAGATAAATGTCCAACAGATGAATGGATTGACAAAATATGGTATTCACATAAAATGAAATATTGTTCAGCCTTAAAAGGGAATGGAATTCTGATACATACCACAACATGGCTGGACCTTGAGGGCATTATTCTAAGTGAAATTAGCCAGGCATCAAAAGACAAACACTGTATGATGCCACTCAGATGAGTGCTACCTAAAGCATAAAACTCACAGAGACTAGAAATAGAATGGTAGTTGCCGAGGCTGGTGGAAGGAGGGAATGAGGAGTTGTTTAACGGGCAGAGAGCTTCAGTTTTGCAAAATGAGAAGAGTTCTGGAGATTGGTTGCATAGCAGTGTGAATGCACTTGACACTACTGAACTATATACTTAAAAATGGCTAAGATGATAAACATACCATGTATATCTTACCACAATTAAAAATTTAAAAAATTTAATGAGAAGAAAATGATGTTTGTGAAGAATTGATAATCACATGGGAACATGTAAGGTGAGGTGAGAAAAAACAGGATTAAAAAAATCATACACAGAGTAGAATCTCAACTCTGTAATCAACATGGAAGACTAGAAATAAAGATTTGAAGGAAACATACCAGAAGTTGACAATAGGGGGAAGTTTGGGGTGATTTTTATTTTTATTATTTTTAAAAACTTTCCATAGTTTCTGAGTTTTAACAGTGAACTTCTACTTCTTCTTTTTTTTTAACATTTTTTATTGATTCATAATCATTTTACAGTGTTGTGTCAAATTCCAGTGTTCAGCACAATTTTTCAGTCATTCATGGGAACTTCTACTTCTTTTACTGCAGGGTGAAAATATTATTTTTAAAATGTGCTTAAATTTATTTCCTTCCTCAGGCTTACTGCTGCTAACCAAACTAGGATGTGATTAAGGCTTTCATACGTTTTTAATGGGAAGATTAAAATTTGCCTGTGGGTGAAGATAAATTTTGTTTTGCACAGAATTTTCAGTCCTCATATATCAATAAATCTGACTCCTCTAAGCAGCCTGGTTAGTCCCTGTCAGACATCAGATGGTCAGGCTCTCAGGCAATTCTGAAACTGGAAAGAGAAGAAGCCCCTGTTTGAAATAATCTATCGATGAGCTGTGTTCATTTTTGGAAGGGTGCGCTAGAGTCTGCATTGATCAATAAGTCAGTTGATCAGAAGAAGCATACAGGAGAGGAAATATTTTTAAAAATGAGAACAACAAAAAATTCTCTACCTGAGGTATCTGATGGCAATTAAAGCTTTCCACCGCACAGGGCTCGCTAAGGAGTTCAGGGGCTCATCCCTGATGAAGTCCTGCAACACAGACAAGGAGGCAAAATGTCTCAGGAAGGACCAGGGGAAGGTTCTAGATGCAGTTGAGACCTCATTGGGCCATTGGGTGTCTTCAGGCAGAAATATGGCAAGATCTGTTTCCTGGGACTGGCAAGTTTTACCCACTTAAAAAAAGACAGCCCTGCACTTTTGGTAATGAGCTTCTAAGGGTCTTGCTGTGTCCTCGCTGCACACTCACCAGCATGTAACCCAGCAGCACCTCCTTGTAGGAAAACTTGAATTTCTCATCCTCAGCATCTTGGACAGCAATGCCAATCTCAGTGATACTTCTTATAAAACTCATTTGCAGATCCATGTCCTAGAGTAAAACAATTCATAATGCAAGCCAAGATCTTAGACACCACACCCAGTTCTACAAACATTCAACTTGGGGTTGAAACATGCCCAGACAGGGGTGAGAGTCTGCAACCTTTGCCATCTTCACCTGAATTTAGGATCCAAGTTGCAGGGAAATTGAGAAACTAAGGTCAATCTTCAGCCCCACCCCCCACCGTAGATTGAGGTTTCTCTGGAATAGTGGCTTTTGAATATTTTTGACCAGAAATCACAGTAGTAAACAACATACTCTTCTATTTCTTTTATTTTATTTCTTTACAAAAAATGTGCTGGTTGTGATCTGTTAGATATATTGAATTGATTTTATGATCTACTGCTGGTTCACAACCCACAGTCCTAAGAACACTGTTCTAGTTCACAGCCTAACTTGCAGACCACCTGGAACCAAATACAGCTCCTTGTTCTGTCTTAGATTAGGGTCAGGAATCCTGGCTTCAGAATTGGATTAATTAGTTATCTATTGGGATCCTTTCCTGTGAAATCAAATCAAGAGAATGTTTATGCTTACTGCACTTCCAGGGATCATGATTTATATTCAAATATATTTATATTCAAATACGTGTATTCCACTATATCAAATATGTCACGTACCTTGTTCATCACAGACATGCCCAGAACCTGAAAAATCAAAGGCAAAAGCAGGTACTAGAGCAACAGTTAGAAAGCTCCCTCATCCCAGCGAAAAGACCCCCCCATCAACTTGAAGGACGGCAGTGAAGCAGGATGCTATCTTTCCAAGTGGCAGGGGCTGTTGCCTCCCTCCCCCATTTTCCAAGTGAGACCCTGTACATTGGCAGATTCTTTGCCCCAGGTGAATCGTGACTAAGCTCCAGAAGCAGCGCAAAGATGTCAAGCCCTTTGGGTTTCAGGCGTCTCATTTTAAAGAGGCTCTATCAGACTTTGGTAAGAAAAAGGGTATAAATGTAGGCTCCTGGCAGAAAGGGCAGTGAAAAGTTACAAAATGAAAGTTAATAGGGCAGCTGACTTTGGAACTGAGCTACAGTTGGTTCTGCTACAACTCTTGTGTTAAAAATGCAAATTGGTTCCAATGAAATTGGTACGTGGTGAGAGTACTTTCAGCATATTCTGAATCTTGAGTTTGCTTATATGCAGTTTTGTCGTGAGAGCAAAAAGTTGCACCCGTTGAACGGAGCCTCGTAGGAACACGCACACACACCCCTCAAGCATCTGTCGACTGCCTCAGTTCACTGTGTGGGCTCAGCTGCTCCCATCCAAATCCGGCATTACAGCCGTCCGTCAGATTCCAGACACCCCTTCTCTCTCTCTCTCTCTCTTTCTTTCTTTCTTTCTTAGTGGAGGTACTGGGGATTGAACGCAGGACTATGTGCATGCTAAACATATGCTCTACCACTGAGCTATACCTACCCCCCTGATCTGTTATCTTTTAAGCATGAAGAGTTCCAAGAGCTAAGACCCTCCAAGGTTTGGGAACTCCTGCTGGGAAACTGAGGTGGCCCTGTGTTGGCTGTTACCTGAGAGCACTGGCCATAAAGAAACAGGACTTGGGACACAATGTCTTGATCAAGCCTGGTGAGGAGTTGACTCTTGGGAGCATGGAGGGCCACGGCTCCGTAGATTACCATGACGTCAGTCTTGGTCAGGCTCTTTTTGCCAGAAAAAAGACCCTGAAGAGGAGGAAAGGGAGACATGAAAAATGTGATTGAAGGAGCTTCTTTTTCTTTCATGTTTCTTCCTAATCCTGTGGACCATGATGGGGGTTAAGAAATGAGACTAGGATTATTCAAATTAGTCAAAAACGGATATTCTTGCTGATATAAATGTAAACACCAGGACGGGGTGGTGGGGCTGTCAGGCTATAACAGAGGTAACTGTGAGAAGGCTTGTGTTCAGTTTTTACTTATTTAATCCCTCTCCTTCCGGGAATACACAATAGAAACTGTCCACGAGGCCCGAGCTCGGCGGAGGGACAAACCTAGGCACACACGGGGCTCCTTTGGACCCTCCAGGTCAGCATTAGTGACAGACAGTGGAGTAGACTTGCTATACAGCCAGTCATCTCCAGGGCTTGGGCTTGGACGGTTCTGATCTGGAGTAAAGACCTGGGGACAGGAGCCAGTATACTATGGAGAAAGGAGACTCACCGAAGGAATTAGGGTCATTTAAGGAGGAGATTGTTCTTACCTTACATCGATTCATGAAAAACTTTTCCCGATCTTGGAATGTTTTAAGAACTTTCAAAACAATATCAAAGTGGTTCTCAGCACAGCATCCTAAAATAGACATTATCCCCTAAAATCAGAAGAGATAGGAGATTTTGAGTTTATTTATTTATTTAACAAATATTTATTGAGCACCTATTATGTGTCAGGAACTGTTCTAGGGGCTGGGAATTCATTAGTGGCCAGAACACACCAAACTCCTTGTCCTTGTGAGTGTACAACCAGGGGAAGTCACAGAGAATTGACATGAAGTTAACTCATAAATTTGGTAAACATATAAATATGTGATATGTCAGATGGTGATAAGTGCTACGGAGACAAGAAAAAGCAAAAAGACAGAGTAGCTGCTGCAGGTGGGGGGAATTAGTGATGTAAACAGGGTGGCCAGAGATGGCCTCAATAAAAGGGTGACGTGGAAAAGAGCTGTGAAATAAGCAAGGAAGGGAGCCATCGGATGACCTGGGAAGGAGAGTTCCAAACAGAGAGAAAGTAAGTCCAAAGGCCCTGAGGTCCATTGGGGAGGTAGAGTGGACACACAAGGGAAAGTGCAAGGTGAGGTCAGAGAGGAAGCAGGGCATTGGTCTGAGTAGGGCCTTTTAGGTCACAGTCAAGAGCTGGGATTTTTAATCTTAGGTTAGTGGGAAGCCAATGGAGAGTTTTTTGAGCTGAAGTTGACTGATGCTTTTTCAAGGCTTGCACTATTCTGCTGAAATGTCATTCCATCTTCAGTGGTTAAAATTTCGACAGCTGGTAGCTCCTGTTTCACACTCGATGGTCGTAGCCACCCTGGCCCACATTCTTTCTGCCTCTCTTGCCCCAGGCTGACTTTACCAACGTGCCTTCTTGGCAGTTTGTTCATGAATCCTGTCATATTCATCTGGTTCAATTACCCTGCCAGAGCCAGCAGGAGAATCCAGGGACTAGAGCACTATCATCAAGGCCTCAGCCAGCACTGTTCTTTGTCCTAAGAGACAGGCCACACACCCTCCACAACCAGAAGACATTTGGAAGAATTCTTTAAAGGCTTATGACCTGACATCTCTGTGTCCCTTGGTCATGGCTCAAGATACTAACATCTCTATCTTTTAACTTCTGGGTGCTCTCACCCTACAGGGTTCCCAATCCATCCTCCTGACTTCTTAAGTTCTTCCCCCACTTTCCCACTCTGTGACCTATGTCCCACCATCCTTCTGTCATTTAAGTCTGGCAAAGCCCTGGACAAATCTGACTCTGCCCCTTAACTATCACCTATCCCTGCACCTCACCTGCTGGAGGCTGCTGGAAAAAAAAGTGACACCACTGAGAACATCGGTGACAACAGAGGAGGACTTCAGTCCCCAGCTGGGCCCTCAGATCCGCACAGGTGTCCCACTACTTTCCCTTAGTCTGTTTTCTCTCTCCAGTTCCTCACAGTTGCCATTTCAAATCTTCTCTCCCAAAACTGTTCCCCAAGCACTCTCCATGAATAAGAACTTTGAGAAGTGTTCCATTTTCCCTTATTCTAGTTTGAGGAACCTGACGGATATAGGTAATATGTTGCACAGCCAAGATTTGAATCCAGCTAGTCTGACACCAGAATCAGAGCTCTGGTTTTACTGGAGGGAAAGAGGCATCCTTATGAGATGGAAGATCAACACCTCAGTGAGACTAAGAAAGTTATATGTTAACCTTAACATGGTAACATGTGACTCTGACCCATCCATAGGTCATTGACAAAGCGACTTGCGTGTGTGGGACATACCCAAGAACCCCTGGGACCTTGAGTGGGCACCATATTTATACCTACATTTAAAATAAACTTATGTTGTTTCCCAGCCTCTAGCAGAACTAAAAAGGCAAGTAGGATGGGGAAAATGGTGCTAGGAGTTGTCTATGAGAAATAAGTAATAACAGAATATCTGAGAAGAAAAAAAGAACTAATAGCAATTTAAAAGCAGTTTCAAAAGTTTAGTTATTTAAGTCTACTGGTCTTCAGTCATTTATGATGGAGAAAGAACTCTAAACGTGTCAGAATTTCTGAGGACGGTATATAACAAAACACACTATGTTAATTTACTTTCACTAGCTGGTCTTTATTAGCCTGGGAGTTTTTTTTTTTAATAGACATCCTTTTCTTTCTCCACATTCACATATGCTCTCCAGCTTAGATTAAAGTAGGGAACAGACAAAAGCACTTTGCAAACGCTTTCCAGGTTATAGTTATATTTTCTCTAGGTTGAAGAACCAATGGTATATAAGGTTAATTTCAGCTTACAAGTGCAGTGATTTTGATGCTGATGATTATACTCTTCAGTTATAAAGCCAAGGCCAAAACAGACTTAAAATACTCTTGTTTAGTAAGAGTGATTGAAATCCATTTAAAAAATATTTTCACAAGCTTGATTAAATAATGAAGCACTGATATTTAAATAGGGAAGCCTCATTTTTTCTGAAAAATTCTTTTGGACTATTTTGAGTGTATGGATGGAAAATTTTGCATAAGTAAGACTAACATAAAAACTGTCAGAGGTTTTCTGAAAGGGATTCATTGTCACTGTCATGAGAGGAACTCGAGGGAAAGGGGTCCCACCTGTCGTTGATCCCCTAGTTGGCTGGGTGCAATCAGAAATTCCTTAACCTGTGAGCTTACAAAGTCTATATCTTGGCAGGATGCTAAGGTGGTCCCCAAGGCTTTCCAAAGGAATTTCTGGAAAACAAAGGACAAGCAACAGAATGTTAGAGGTTGGAAAGCAAGACTCTGATGAAAGTGGAATTAAAACAATTATTTGAAGAAAAGAAATCGAGGTGACTTATGACTGCTTAAGAACCATGCACTTTCAAGTATTATCTCTTCTTCCAAGTGTCCCCCTTCCCACCCCAGGCTCTGTCCTCTACCTGTGTTCTTCTGCCCTCCTCTATGCTGTGTGCCCTGTCATCACAGAACATTTCATTCCCTACTGTAATTTTTATTTTCTTGTTTCTGTGCTTTGAACTTCAGTTCTTGGTAGCAGAGGCTCTTATTGATTATTTCCATCACTGGTAGCTAGTAAGTGCTTGTACATGCTTATTGACTGAACATGCTCAATGAAAACTGGGTCATTATGAAGATGATGTCATCAGATATTCTCAAAGTGCACAGTATATTAACTTAATTTATAGTTTTGGAGATTTTACTCAAAATAGTTTTGAAAATAATATTCTCTACTATTATCTTATGCTCTGCTAATATCTCTGTCTCAGGCGTAGAGTGAGTTGTTCACAAATGCTGCTGGGATGGTGTTAGGAATGAAGAAGGAAAGTCACATAAAAACTCTCACATGCATATTTTTACATTGTGTCTTTAGTAAGGAACTCTGAGTAAGTCAGGAAGGGAAAGCTCATCATGGAGGCAGACTGGTGTGTGAGCAGGTGGGGAATCACTCTGTGGCTTCCACCTCCCTTATAGGTGGTGAGGATGTGGGATTCATCATGTTAGCCCTACCCTGGTTACTTCTGCAGTGTCAGGATGGAGAAAAGACCAGTAGGACAGACATGGCTTCCTGTTACCTTTCATTAGAAGCCATGTGAGATGTAGAGCTTTGAGTAGGGGAGTGGGGCAACCCAGCAGGGGCTTGTGTTTGAACACTACAGCATACGCTGGGTTGGAAACAGGTATATGTGCATGTGTGCATGGACAGCTACATAGCACCAGATTGGCATCTCTTTATTTACAATGTCCCTCTTGTTACACACAGATGAAAACCTGGCCAGTTGGAGGTCTACTCCAAGGACCCTGCAAAGCTCAAAGGACGGTAGCTATTGAGTGGTCATTCTTGATCCTATGGCACAGGAGGAAAGGAAACTCTAGCAGTAACAGATGAAGTCAGATGAGCACATCCAGGAGAATCTGTACCCATTATCTGACTTGGGATGAGAGGGGGATATAAGGTGATAAAACAGGTGGAACAACCACCAAGGTAAGAGTGGCCTCGATCAGAATAAGAATCTGACAAGGTAGCACCCAATCCACTCTTGGTCATTCAGGAAAAAGGATCCCATGATAATGGAATCATAATGAGGAAAACTGCGTACACCACTGGAGTAAATATTAATGAGGAACAAAACTGCTAGAGTCTATTTAACTCCAACTTGGGAGAAGTTCAGAGAGTCTGGAAAAGTCTTGTGCTGCAGAAAAAATTGATTCCATGAAGGGAAAGATATGACTTATGGGTGAAGGGTTAGCCTCAGTGCCTCCCGATACTGCTGACCTGTTGTTTCTCTGCTGAATTTGGTCAGATTCAGCGAATGGTGCATTCCTACTTGAGGTCTTGGCTGAATCCCAGAATTTCTGTGAATCCCATAAATCACAAACCTAGAACTGGGAAAGAAATGTGGTCAATCTGTCTCCATCCCTGGCCTCTGGGCTGGCCTTGTGACTTGCTTTGGTCACTAGAATGTGGCAGAAGTGACAGTATGCTTGTTCGGAGTCTAGACCTCAAGACACCTTTCATACTCCATCCCTACCACCATGAGAACAAGCCTGAGCTAGCCTGGGAGATGAGAGACTGCAAGGAGCAGAAACAAGCTGTCCTAGTTAAGATCATCCCAGACCAGTCAATCCCCAGTAGCCCCCAGTGAGACTAGTTGAGATCAAAAGGCTGCCCATTTGAGCCCCGCCCAAACTGTCAACCTGAAAAATTGTAAGCTAATTAGGTGCCTGTTATTTTAAACCACTAGTTGGTTTGTTATGCTTCTAAAGCTCCTTGGTACACTCTAACTTTTCTGGTGTTAAGTATAAGAGTTGAGAGCCATTTAGGCAGCTATTGGCATGAATTGCTCTGCCTACTCATACCACCATTATCCTGAACTAATCTTGTGGGTCTGGAAGCTGTTGGATAAATGATATTACACGAGAGGCACAAGGCTGGTTTGTGTATAAGAAGATGAGGCATTGCTCACCAAATCTTCCTGATGGATGTGTCTGTAGGTGGATGGACCAATTTGGAGCATCAGTACTCTGTACCAAATTAGAGAGTCAATCAGTGAGGGGAAATTTAGAAAATTACATAGAAGAGTTGCAGGTTGATAATAAAGAGTTTGTGGGAAGAGACACTCAATACTGGGAACACTTAATGACTTAGGAAATATTTTTCCAGGAAAAAATTTTTAAAAATAACCTAACCACAATGAAAACCACGATCTACTTCTTACTGAACACACATCACACGACAGGCATATTCTAGGGACTGTATATACTTTATCTCATTGAACCTTCATAACACTACAATTCTCAGAAGTGGATAGCATTCCCATTTTATTGGTGAGTATACTGAGGTCCCAGAGAGGTTAAAAAATTTACCTGAAACTACAAAGTAATGTAGTAAGCAGCAGAAACAGGAATCAGTAACACCATGTGGAATGGATGGTTACAATGTGGAAGGTTTGGTAGAGGTCATATGGAGACAGAGGAATGAAAGAACTCATCTTTGAGCATTGTTTCTCAAGTTTAAAAAAAATTGTAATAAAAACAGAGTTATCATACGATCCAGTAATCCCAATCCTGGGCATATATCTGGAGAAAATTCTAATTTGAAAAGACACATGTACCTTGATGTTCATAACAGCATTATTTACAATAGCCAAGACATGGAAACAACCTAAATGTCTATCGACAGATAAACGGATAAAGATCTGGCACACACACACACATATGCACACAATGGAATACTACTCAACCATAAAGAAGAATGAAATAATACTATTTGAAGCAACATGGATGGACCTAGAGGTTATCATATTAAGTGAAGTAAG